GTCAAAAGTCAAGCAAAAATTGGACTGATATTGGGCACTATTTCAAGCACAATTTTTTGAGACGTAAATTGTACCTATAGCTCGTTCGATATTCGCGCACTGAGGTGAGTATGCTGGGCGTAGAACCTACGCCCAGCATACTCACTGAACGAAGCCTATAACTCCGAAGTTATTCGAGCACTGTTTTTTCTTTTTGGGCACCGTTTGGCACTATTTGGGAACTATTTTTTGAAGTATGAATTATGTTTGAAGCGTATACAGATTCTCCGGACGGAGGTGAGTATGCTGGGCGAAACCTTCGTCCAGCATACTCATCGAACTATGGCTATAACTTCGCAAGTACAAGAGCACTATTTTTTTCCTTTGGGCACTATTTAGCACTATTTCAGAACAGTTTTTTGACATTCATGAAATATCAGGATTCCATGGTGAGTATGCTGGACGAAGGGACACGTTGAATGGCGATTTCATTTTGCGCAGTTCTGTGATTGAGAAGGGGATCAAACAGGTTATAGAAGTTGCTGAGAGAGTTCACAATGCGCGATACTTATGATATAGGTACGTACTAAAATGTACCCACCTACTTAATTTGTCGTAAAAACAAAAATTGCACAATAAATGAACTAGGAAGACTGCTCAAAAGTGAAAGTATAGTAGTAAGGTAATTTATTTAATATCATAAAAACTGATAAGTGATAAAGACGAAGAAAACAAGTGCCTTAGTGCCGAGGGACAATGCGCCTTATTTCAAACTAGCAGCAAGTTTCTGTAGCTACGCTAGTCTATGTAGAAAAGTGAGTAGTTATATGGAAACAGCAGTTTTCTTAGTAAAAGCAAACAAAATCACGATAAACAGTAAGTAGGTACCTACCTAACTTTACAACAAACGACACAATAAAAAACCAAGTATGTAGAAAGCAAGGTTCTGGGAAACAACTATTGGAAATGTAGTTTGTGATTTAAATTCCATAAAGAACATCAATATAGGTAGGTAAATCTTTCCTAAAATTCTGATTGCGTAATTTTCAAGTCGTTCGTTTTTTAAATATCCACCATAGACAAATAAAGCAAGGGGAGGCAACCTTCCGGAGCATTCAACGAGGACTTGTTTAACGGCCATAACATTGTCCCGGCGTTCGTTTTGTTTAGCCCCCTCGCGGTCCAAGGACAGCGCGGCCCGCCTATCCAAGGTCACGTCAGGTGATGCCAAAATGTACACGTGTTTAACGGTTATAAGAATTTGAACTATTTATTACGATTTAAGATTAAATAGGGCGGAACAGGATTGCGACCTTTATATTTTAAGTTACACGTGCGCACTGCGCATATACTTGGGATAAAGGGTTGAAAGGATTTTATTTGACGATTTTGCTGCAAAATTGTGTTGAAAATATATATAAAGTTGTGAGTTATATTTGTGATTTTGTAATTACAAAAGCTAAACCTAGATAAATAATCATGAGTCTTATTTAATTGGAGAGTTTACTGACGCAAAATTAGAATAATACTTACATAATACTCCATGGAAAAAAAAGCATAGATCATGAGATTCTTGACATTCACCCTGGTGATTACTCGTCCAATAGCAGAGGCACGTAATGACGAAAGCACAAAATATCTTATGAATCAGGTTACCAGTGAAAGGTAACAACTAAAGAGTCTAATTTCCTAATTCACAATCACACTAAATAATTGTATTCCCACGCAAATAACTAACAATAGCCAATGAAAAGCAACCGATTGAATGCAGGTACCCATTACGATTCGTGATAGGTCAAATAAAATAAACTGTTGTTAATTCATGCAGTTTTATATTTAACGAAACTAAAGTTAAGTAGGTTGTGACTGGGTTTTTAAAAAGTTTCTCAGTAGTAGCACGGAGTCTGGAACTGTGCTCGGTACATGGCAATAGACTTACCCCCCTATTACATAGGATTCATAACTTAAATAGTGAAAAGTAAGTGTTACATTGCGCAGTGGCATTAAGTGCCGTAATGTGCACTGCCTACCCCTTCGGGGATAAAAGGCGTGATGTTATATTATGTAAACTTAAGTAGATACTAAGTAGGTAACAGTTTATCAGACCTGTATTAACCCATTTGGCGTTTTGTATTATTATACAGAGTGCCTACAATTACCTAGATGAACGTAATCAGTAAATTGCAGAAAAAAACAAGGAAACGTCCTAATTAGTCTTGCTAATAGCTTGACCATAGAATCCAACCTAGTATGTACAACATAATATCTAATCTTATTCAGCAACCAAGTATGACACAACTAAACCTAGACGATTAATGAAAACATTAACAAAACCAAAACAAAACAACTAGAAACCACAAATAGATGCTACGTGTTACAACCGAACTGAAACTTTCAGTTCCTAATTATTTAGAAAGACTCCAATCTAATCCTAAGTCAAGTCAAAATCATTTATTTCAATTAGACATGTAAGGCACTTTTTAACATCAACAAATAAATTAAAAGTGAAGCTAGGTGTAGATTCCTATGGAGAAGAACGAACAAGAAACTCCATAGGTTAGGTACTCTTTTTCAATCAGGTTCACAATACAATTTTTAGTTACACAGTTCTGTTGGTTCAACTGTGTGAGAACAATGTAACACCAAAATGCAATCAGAGCAGCACGACAGTCGCCGCGTCGCGGTTCGCGGAATGATGCTCATGTGAGCCTCAACCATGGCTCGAAACTAGTCGAGTTCCTCGTCAAACAGTTACGTAGGTAATCCGAAAACATAATAATTAAAATCCAATCAAAGTCTAATATGTTAAAATCACTTTATAACAGGCAAAACAATATCAAAGTGTGTAATTATGCTGCCAAAACGGTACATCACATTACAGGATGTCCCAAAAACTTGATTTCATCATTTTAATATCATTATACCTTTTAGCTATAAAAAAACACATATTAGTACAAAACTCACTTGTATTGAACAGAAAACTGGTCTTAAGTTCGGCAGCTGTGCCGTAGGAAGTGATGTGAAAAGCCGACAGATCACATCAATGCGCCGCACACCTGCGCAGGAGTCTTTGGTCCCGCGCATGAGCAGAACGTACCTACTATAAGTACAGGCCGAGGGCTGCCACGGGATATTGCGAATTATTTTTTGAATATCTTTTGTTGAAGTAAGAGAAACGGGTGTTTTTGGGATCTTAAATCATAACTTTCGTCATCTATAATAATTTTTTTTATTAAATGACATATAATGATCTTAATATCATTTTAAATTAAATCATTACCGCAATAGTCACAACCAAGATGAAAACTAAGAAACATGATAGACTATAGTTTCTACACTAAATTGCATCGAATGCGCAACATCCATTCAGTAATTACATTTATGTGTGAATCAAGTGAAACACACCCCTTTAAAGTTAATAATAAGAAAAATTTAAACAACCAATCCAATTTGACAAACAATTAACTTTACACTAACCCTATAAAATAGCACCCAGCGATTAATGTTTCAAAAATATCTTCGTATATACGCTGCAACATATTAAAAAATGTCGGTAACAACCCTTGGGTTACAAGGTACACTTATCCCGAGATGAATGCGACAATCACTGATATAACATAAAGCCGACGATACCATTGTGAAAAAAACAAGATTCCCCCTCTTTTAAAATCAACCGAGCTTACTCAGATTGCGTATATTATTTTGCGCAACTTCTCT